ATTAAATGAGGATATTCTACATTTTGGTTGGTGCATGTGTGAATCTCTTCAGCCCTTTATGCCTGGTGTCGGAGTTGGACACCGATGACACCGATATGGTTGATAATTCCTTAACTGTCGTGTAGTGTGCTCTTTGTCTTATTTTAACTGGGCCACCTTTGAAATGGGGACAGAATCTGGACCTACCAAAATTGTTCTCTGATGCAATGTCTAACTTATCAGGTTTGTCTAATATTGGTGTGGGACATGGTAGATTCGTGTATTTTGCTGAAGCACACCGCCAACTCCTGTATTGGCTGAGCACCATCACGAAAACGGGATCCTTGGCCATAGCACACCGTCTCTATTAAAATATTATTTTCACTGGAATTGGATAGAGAACATTTTTGAAATGACTGTGGTTGCCCCTAGACCAGCCCGTTACCCACTCGAGCCCATCTGGGGGTGACCTAGACGAGGCCATTCGGTCCCTTCACTCTCGCCGCCGCCGCCGCCACTCCTCAGCTGGCCCCGCCCACTGAGCTGCACGCCGCCTCGTCCTCGCAGTCCTCGTCTCCGAAGGCCACCCTCCTCTCTGTTGCGCGGCCTCCTCTCTGCATCCCAGTCTTGTCTCCCAAGCCACCGTTCTCCATGAAGACCCAATCGTAGATCGAGGGCTTGAAGATGTCATCACTGAGAGGGAAGAAGCGCATGTCCTCAAGCGTGGGGTCACCGTCGAAGGGCTTGAATATGTCCTGGGTACCTGAAGGGTAAGATTGTTGTCCCTTTCTTGTGCATTTTCTTTGATCTAGGGTTTCGGTTGTCTTGTTGATTTGGTACCATAGATGCGCAATTTGGCGTCGTCAGATTTAGGTTTTGATTCTTGAATCACCGTTCCTCTGTTTTAGGATGGATAGTAGTTCGGCGTGCATACTTTATGTGCGCATTCCAAACTATGCTGAGATTATAGATGATGATAGCACTACAGTACACCCAATCAACTATCCAAACCTTGTTGTGGATAGAGATAGAACCAATGTGAAGGATATAACAGATGAAATAGCAGCGGGAATGAAGCTTGGGACGAATCAGAGAATGTCCAGTTCCTTCTGGAACAAGAGAATGTCTAAGTTCTGCAGTCTATCATCTGATGCCTTGCTGATGGAAGCAATGGACCTGTATTGGGATATGAGGGTGTCTCTGTATGTGGATGTTCATGACACTGTGACAATGGAGTACAGCCAGAGTGTTTCAATGGAACCTTGTCTAAAACCTGACCAAGATCAAGGAGAATTAAGGGTGCAAAAGGAGGGAAAGCCATTGGGAAGCAAATGAAGTGCAAAAGGTGTGGCCAATTTGGTCACATGATGAAGACTTACAATGAGACAGTTTATGACAATGATGGCCCACCTCTAGCCCCACCTAAGCCAAAAAGAGTGAAAAACAAGAAAGCAAAGGCTACAAGTACTGCATCAACTTAGCAATCCTAAACCAGAGCATGTTCCATTACCATTACAGTACCACCACTTTTATCCAACAGTCCTACTGATAACACTAGGAGGTAATACATCTCACTGTCTTTGAACTTGTAGTTCCGATGTAATTTACCAAGCCAACTAGTTAAGTTTCCAAAATCCATACAGCCACAAGAGGAAGATGGAAGGAGAAGGTGCCAAATCAACATATGGACAACGCAAGAAGGCAAACAAGGCGACAGCGTCTAAATAAACCAAGAAGGCCAAGAAGCAGCTACTGATGGATGAGGTTGCTGAGTGACTGGCTCAGGCATTTTGAGCCGAACCTGATGATTTTGGATTTGTTGGGGAGTGTTGTCTTTGGCTTCCAATAGTAGCCATTTCATGCATGTAATTTGAGCCAAACCTGATGGCCCTAATTAAAACATTGTTATGTTTGGTAACATGTACTCTAAGCCAAACCTGATGGCTTAAATTAAGACATATTGCTATGTTATCCATATAATTTGGGTTTCCACCGTGGTGATGCCAATTTTGGATGTGAATTCTGGATTCCATTTATGAATGCTATTTTCTGTGTTATCTATAGCTCATACCAGATAAATGTAGACAATTCTCATTTCTCATCATCAAACACAAACATGATGTTTCAGTGACAAGCACACTTGGGAGACATACACTATTTACTTAACTAACATCACTAACAAACAGATTAGCTACACCTAAAACAAGCAACCATACACCTAACTTATCAACGTTGCTACAGAAGGCTTGATTGGCGTCAACAGTCCTCTTTAGGGCTGCATCTGCATCCTTCAGATTGTTTGTTATGCTCTCCAACAGTGTGGTGCAGCTCTGAACTCCCTCAATTGCCTCCTTCAATGCCTCCCTGCCTTCATTCAAATCCAAAGAGGACACCATAGGTGCACTGCCTGACTTTGAGAAGCAAGGTGGAAGCTTCGATTTCTTGACCAAGTACTCCACATATTGTTCCTCCCAACAGAAAAACTGACACATAGCAAAGAACAAGAGGATGAATGGTCAGATCTAATCTACCAAACAAATAAGCCAAAAGAAGGAGAGGATGAACCACCTGATCTACCAACTTACATGCTCGAATACTGGACACTTGTAGAACCTCTCCCCAAAGCTATGTTCCTTGCGTGAAACCCGGCCAATCATCAGATTGCCACAGTAGCGGCACTCCACCAATGGAAGGTTCCCCTGCGCATCCCTATAAGTGGCAAGAGAGGGCGCATCTGACCGCACAGCCGCTGAGTGAGAGCTTGACACCATGCTTCACTTCTATGTGGCCCCATGAACTAGGGTTTGGCCAGAGAGACGAGCAAGAGAGGAAGACGGAGGAAGAAGAACAGCTCGGGGAAGGAGAGCGTGACTGGATAGGGGTGACTGGGTTGGGTTCGACCATGTAGCTGAGCTAGGGGTAAAGTCGACTAGTGCAAAGATGTTCTCTCTCCAATTCCAGTGCAAATGATATTTTAATGGAGGCGGTGTGTTACGGCCAAGGATCCCGTTTTCGTGATGGTGCTCAGCCAATACTGTAGTTGGCGGTGTGCTCCAGCAAAATACACGAATCTACAATGTCCCACGCCAAAATTTGCCTTCTAGCATTTGTGCCTCTCAGATAACAAAGCTTCTTAGCACCACATGTTTGCATATCGTGTCTTAAAGTTTTTTCTTTGGTTGCAATTACTTGAACTGTCTACTTTGGTTTTATCTGTTAACAATGAACCAACTTGATGACTTTCATTGAACAGTTACTTTCAGTGAGTTCAAATGCTATCTAGTATCTTTCTGAAAAGAGATACCCTCTATTTTTGCCATTCATAGTTATCTGTCTGGCCTGTTAAAGATTCCTGGTTGGATTTTTTTTTTGAACGTAATGGTTGGAATTTTTAAAGAGGATTAAACCATACTCTCATTACCATTTCAACTGATGGTCTAAAGATCACAAAATAAACATCGCACGACCATTTGTTCTACTAGTTGAGATTATGAAGTGTTTTGCATAGTCTACAACTTGCTTGTGACCATGTATTTTATCAGATGCCAGATATGCAGATGGCTTTTAATTTTTCCTCATGTTCGTGTACAACCTATATATGTCAAAATTGTGATTGTTAGGCATGATGTCTTCATCCAGAGTCTTTAAAGGGCTGCAAAAAGAAGCAGAACCAGCTATGTCTTTTGAGGTACTAGCTACTTAGTATTACTAGGACACTTGTGATGAATAACAATGTATGCTGGTAAGGATCTGAATCCTGTGATTGGGCAGTTATGATGAGTAACTATGCATGCCAGTATGGCTCATATGATTAGACTATGCAAAGCTGTTTTGAGAGAAAAGGAAGAACTGTTAAGCAAGTTGAATTGTTCATCAGATCTCAATTAAGTGCTCATCTCTACCATTTATCGCATCATTTAAAACACCTTTTCTTTTGGTTGCGACATTTCCGGCACCAAACATCTGAAACATACAGGCAGGGGCAAACTGATACTGATACTTAATTTTATGAAAAATCCATGGGTTGGGCAATTGGTAATTTAGCATGCTTGATTTTGTAAGTACTCATGTTGCTTTCACCTGCTCCAATGCAATGTTTGTGCAAAGGCAATATAGCTTTCAGCCTAGCAACTAAAATACGAACTAGCGACATATGAGCACACAACACGGGGGATACAGATGTTTGGGAAGGACACAACAAAAGTAGCTAAAGATTCTTTCGTAATCCACCCCGTCTCTTCCTCTTTTCCGCCGTTCGGTATTCAGGGGTGGTCCAATGATAAGGACCTATCCTCTGTCCCCAGTTCCAAGGCTGGAAGCATAGCAGTGAATATTTCCATCTGTTTGCATAAAAAGAAATGGTAGTTTTTTGTCTGTTGTCCTATTCCTTATGTTTAACTTACAGATTTTCATTATCTGCAGATGGAGCTATTGGTTATAAACCAGCCGTTTGGCTGTTCATGAATACCTGCTGCAATACTAGTGAAATTGGGTGCCTGAGCTGCAGCAAGCATATAAGGGTTTTCTCCTTTTTCTCATGGTACAATTACAGGTATCTCTCAGGCTTCTCGTTGTATATAAAGTTGAATCAGGTCAAAGTATTTGTCACTGTGGTTGTGACAAATCCTCAATTATTGGTGAGCTATCTGCATCCCATCCTTGTTCACTTGTTCCTTGTGTTGGCACTTGGCAGAAGGAAACGCTTTACCATTGTAATCTAAAACATTATGTATTTAAGTATGCCTTTTGCGTATCAGTGTAGTTAGCTGAAAATTACCACATCACACTAAATACACATTCTTTAGCTTTAGTAAACCTACTAGACCATGTCGAATAGCACTGACCAGCACTATATCTGAAATAGAGCAAGGAAAATTACAAAATATGCAGTGCATTCAGGGCATCTGCAATATGCTAACATTATCTTATTAGATTTATCTCTACAACCAAAAAGGGTCATCCGAAGAAGCCAATGATTGACACAGCTTGCATGATTGAAAGGCTGGGCGACTGGCCTCATATCAGTTATCAGCCCTCTCAGAGACAGTTTTAATCTGTAAAATAACAGGTTAAAAACAGAAATGAGTGAAAACTTAGAATTGAGGAACTGAAACAAAATCAGGGATTTATGTTAATATAAAATGATTAAGTTTTATATAAACTTAGCAGTGATAAAGTTTTGAATTTCCATAACATGAAACTAAAACAGCTTGAATCTGCACTGTACTTACCAGGCCATGAGGAAGTTCAGAGCTTTTCGTAACCCTCAGCCTCTTAGTCGTAGAAACAAATACACTGCAGAATTAAAGAATTTAATTTAGATAGGACAACTGTCATGTTTTTTAGTTGGTATAATTACAATTATATAAGCAAGAAAAAAATGATTGTAACTAAAGGTGATACTTATGCTTAAGAAACTTATGAAATCTACTAGGTCTCTGAACTCTCATATTCATAGATAGAGAATGGAGCAGGGAAGGCTTACTTCCATGGTAGGTCGCCAACTAGTGTCCTGTCTCCTTCACTGTCTTCACAAATTAAAGTGTATTCACCAGTTCCATCCAATAACCCTGAAAATATTTTCTCTTCTGCTCCTTGCTTTCCAACTCCAGAACAGGCTAGATCCTTCTGGGCTGCTGAACCAGATTCATAATCTTTAGAAAAATTTCTCCAATTAGCGCTATACATATGCATAAAGTATTAGATAATATAGACCAAGTACTTCTTTTCTGTTTATGACTTGTACCTTCAAGAAAGCCACAAAACAAATCTTCGACGGCAGATGAAAGCTTCTGATAGTTGTCGTATGCTGAGAGGTTTATTTTCCTTCCAATGGGGATGCCGTCCATGTTTATTTTGATAAGTGGGCTTCTCTTGCAAGTTTGCTTCGCCTTGTCACAAGCTTCATCGTTTTGTTGCTCAGGGGATTGCTTAAATGAGCTGGCATTTGTGAGGTTTCTCCTGAAGGACCGTACTGGAGGCCAACCAACCACTGGAAGAACAGCGCCTCTACATTGAATTTGAGCGAGTTTGAGTTGAATAAGTTTCCAGTCCTTTTGTTTTTAAGTTTATATGGAAAGAAGAGGAAATCAAATCACTGTTGTGTTACCAAACTAAAATATCCGAAATATGTATATGCATCTCAAGTGATGTAATGTTAAATTGAGAATGTTGCAACAAACTCACACCTCCTACAGTTTTTTATTTTGTCAGTAGGGCGTATACTATAGCTGATTTGAATGTAAATCAGTTCACTGGCTGAAAAGGATAGTCAGAACTAACAAAGAAAAAGTTTAGGACAAAACTAATGTATGTCATAGAAAATAAACATAGGGTTGATTGATAGGCAATTTTCTTTTATAGCAGACTAGTGAATTTGCGTGACCAAGGGTACTCCTTGAAACTGGAAGCTTCATAACTATTTTTCTTGTCTAGGCTCGCTTGCTTATCAGATTTGATTCTGAGAGCCAGGATAAAAAAGTCAAAATGAAGTGGACTGGAACATTAGACTATGTAATCCTTTCCCAAGATCACGCATATGCGATGACAAAAACAAACAAGCATAGCTCCCCCAGCTGGGAGCACAAAAAGACGGGAAAGCAAGTAAAACAAGCCTGTCCTCAGTCCTCACCTCGTCAGGTGGGGGTTGCTGCTGCTGCTGCTGTGCACAGGCCCAGCAGCAGCCGAGCCATGCGACGACGATGGGGGACAGCACCCTTTCTTCCTCTCACCTGCCATGTTTTCACCTCCCAATGTTAATAACTCATTCCCACACTCTTCCCTGTCCTCCTGCCTCTGCTTACAACCTTACAAAATCACACAAAAAAAGATGTCAGAAATCCAGCTCAGTGAATGAACTTACTAATGAACAGCTGCATATTTTAATTTCCTTTGCACTATCACTACCTTCTGCTTTGGCACCAACGGTTGCCAAGAACCCTCTCTTTGCCCCGGTGGTAGTAGCACCAGTGCTGGTGGCGAGCTTGGAATGTGATGGGAAGCAACCAGAACCAAGGGAGAGTGCCGTGCAGCCCTCCTGTTGTTGTTCCATCTCCTCTCCTGGCCGCGCCGTTCTCTCATCATCTTGGGCACCAGGGAGGCCGAGCTTCAGCTCAAGCTTGTAGTCGTCCTCCTCGGCATCAGGGCTTGTGGTTGTTGATGAGCCCCCTCCATCTTCCGCCTCTCTGATCACCTTCCATTCTCTCTCGTCTCGGATGAGGTTTAGCAGCTGCGGAGTGGAAGGAGCTCTCTCTCCGGAGCTTTCCTCCATGGGACTTGATCTAGGACTCTAGGAGAGGTAAGAGAAGACAAAGCTTTAGTATGCGTATATAAATACGTGGATGGTGCTAGTTCAGCAAGGCTTCGATAGCACTGAAAACCCTACGGCCTATATGATAACATTCGATGGATAGTTGGGAGGAATACAAGTAAGTTACTACTGACTCAGAAACTAAAGTTAGTTTCATACTCAACTTCGGACGGAGAAAGCTGTGAAAATAAACGTGGGGTATAATATATGCAAGGTCAAAGCGAAGGAAAGCCGGGGTGAAAAAACAAAAGAACCGGAAAAGACATGACTCCGGGTCGCCAAATCAGCTCACGTCAAAGGCATTTTGGGCAAGGGAAATGGAGCCGGCAACTCATCCTATTCGGCGACAAGATGACTAAAACCTTCTAGAGTTGTTGTGTTGTGTTCCACAACGCAACCATATCCTTGGAGAGCGAGCGAGAAAGAGAAAGGACGTTTTGTTGCTGATCAAGCTAGTGTACTGCTAGTGTAGAAAAGATAAGAACAAAGTCACTCCAAACGCCCAATCGAGACAGAGATCTTTCAGAAGATCGGTTCAGTCATTCAGACAAGGGTAGCCTCTCTAGTTCGTAGGCCTGAAACTCTCAAACTGAATCGTACATACAGCAAGAGAATTTAGCAGAGCGAGGAGCAAGGAACTCACCTGAGGTGCAGTGAGTGACCTGAGGTAGCTGAAGAACTCTAGAACCCTGATGAGGCCGTGAGAAGAATGGCTAGCCAGCTCAAGTAAGTAAGCGAGGGAGGGCCGGAGGGAGCTGCAGCTATCTGTGGCAGAGGAACTGCCGCCTGGCCTTTCTTTTGTACCAGTCCAGCTCCAGCATGTTGCCTGCCCCGAGTGCGAGTTGGCGCCGTTCTTTTTCCCTGGCCCTAGCTATATCTATAACCCTGTAGCGTAGGCGTAGGGTGTATCCTCTCCTTTCAATCCTGCACTGCTGGTCTGCTGCTGGGCCGCTGCTAGCGCCTCACAAGTTCAGAGGCAACGGCAACGGCAACGGCAACGGCAACAGCAACGGCGTCGTCGCGTTGCGTTGCGTGTGGGCGCCGTGCGCGCGTGGGATGGATGATTGGGGAGGGGGCCCTAGGGGGGGGCCGGCCAGGCGAGGCGAGGCGACCGGAGGAGCCCGGAGGAAGCGAGGATTATCCCGGCGAGTGCGGTGAGGTGATGCGATGTCGATGTGATGGGATGGATGCTGCGTGTAGTTGGTGTCGGATGACGGGCTTGGACCTGGGTGCCTGGCGGGGCCAGGCCCCCAATGTTTTACAACAACAAAAAAAATAGTAGTATGACTTAATATTTTTATTTATATTAAGAGGAAGATTATATAAAATTCTTGTCATATATACCTATTAATATCTTCTGATAATATAATTATATAAAACGATGTAATAAAATTATCGATGGGAAAAGACCGATGCTGCGTGTAGTTGGTGTCGGATGACGGGCTCCGCCCTGGTGTGGGTTGGGTGCTGTGATGCGATGGTTCTTGTTGCCTGTCTGAGTGCTTGGCTTCAGGCTTCAGCAATCAGCAAGCACGGGCTCCTCCGGGACCACTGTCGGCGTTGTTGTTGGCTTGTGCAATTTGTACCTGACCCATTCTGTTGAAGAATATATTCGTGTTGGGCTACATACCGGCTCCTTCAATTATCAAGAAAGGTCCATGCGGCAAGCTAGCTCAGGTCCTTTTTCAACGCAAAATGTTCTTTGTTTTTGTTGGCCAAAAATGACTGATCGTTGGACACCAGAAACCTTTTGCTACTCCCTCCATTTTAAATTGTATGCTATTTTAACTTTTCTAGACGATCTCACTATGTATATGAACATGGAGTGAGTATATTTCTAGCCTGGTGTGTGCAGGTAGCGCCGGTCTACATGTAGCCGCAACTGGGGAACGCACTTTCTTCCGTGCCCATGCACGACCAAACTCAAAAAAGAACCAGAAAGAGCAACCACCTCTCACCTCGAATTTGTACTTGACGAAACGAAACGAAGCCAACGCTGAAAACAGGAGTAAAACGTGCATGGAACTCTGGCAACGCCCGACCCGCATGGAGCCACAGCCACACACGAATTAGGCACGGTATGAATACGATACGACGGGCACGCGCAGCTAGCTAGCTCCGCAAGGCGGGCCGAGGAGTCACAGCCTGTTCGGCTGGTGCTGGCCAGCCCCTCGTACGGATACTGTTCATATGATCAGTGTTTTTTTTTTTAGAAAGATATTTTTATCTCACAAATCAATCAACCAGCCGATTTCTTAACGCTAACCAAAGCGATCGATGACGAACCGAAATAAAACCGAATAGGCCGTGAGTTGTGGGGGTGGACCGCCTCTCGATCGGCCGACAGCAGCAATTCTGCGCCGCCGGCCGCGTGGAAGAGGAGAGTGGACTTCTCGGCGTTAGCCGCACACACAAGTGGGTGGCTGTGCGTGGTCACCTCACCGGCGGCCGGAGGCGTGCATGCCTGCAGTGTAGGCGCAGTGCAGTGTAGATGGACGGTTCGGTACGGGTGCTGGTGCTGCGTCTACGGCGCCGAGTGGTGGTCCAGAGCTACACTACACCTCGCGCGAAGCCGAAGTACATACAAGCCCGTCCCCCGTGCCATGTGCCGTCCGCAGGCGCGCCGCGCGCGTGGCCGGACGAGAAGTGGCATGCAGCTGTGCGGCACGTGGTCGGTTACGTGCGGTGCGATCCTGCCTGCTGCTGCGGCCGGCACCGGCCCGGAGAGGGCGGGGCGGCGGCGTAGAGAGTGAGAGCCCGTGCCGTGCGCATCTCGTGGAGTCGTGGGGGATGATGGATCATGGATGTGTGGGAGGAAACATGCGGGAAATGCCCCGGTGCGATCTGCGGATCTGGCCTCGATTTTGGGCTTGGACACGGCGCCGGCCGCCGCGGCTGTGGGCAAACTGCGCCTTTTGCTGGGAAGGCGCGAGCGCCTCCCCGGACCCCGCCGGCTTTATTTGCTGGTCGACTGCTGTTTGGCTCCTGCCGCTGGGCGCTGCGTGGTGCCGTGGTGGTTACTGGTTAGCCTAGCTATTTGCCGTCCCAAGACATGGCTAGAGACAATTTTCTCCTCATGCGATCACAAAACTAGTATCCTCTGTCGCGAATGGTGAGAAGTGAAAACGGGTACGTTTGATTATCCCCGTCCCTGTTTTAACCGTGACCCCGGTCCCTGCACAGAGGAAAAATAATTTTACGTTCTTTGGCTTAGATGATCTCATAGCTCTTAGGTCGTGGAGATGTGTTGTTAGGTGCTCCAATTTTTCGTTGAGGATGAACCTCAATCTGTGCTTGAGGGATAGTTTTCTCCATGGCACTGTTAATCTAGCACAAGAGCTATATGTATTCTCACTGATATTCCATCCGCCCCGAAAAGAACACAATTCTAAGTTTGAAGCAAATCAAATTTTTCTCAAGTTTAACCATTTTTATAGAAAATAATATCAATATTTATTAAATAATTTAATGATATATACCTAGACAAAAAATAACCTTGTGAGTAGAAGACCAAGAGCACGTAGGCGGAAAATAAAATGTAGAGACACCTCATCTATCCGGAGATCAGTACACGGAGCATTATACGTGCAAGGGAGGCTCCAGCTCAAGGACACACCACCTAAGAGTTAGGAAATAGAACGCTCGTGTTAGGAAGAGCCGTCGACGCCTCGACGCCTAGGGCAGAGCCGTCGCCATCTGCCTGCTCCTCGCTCCGCCTGTCTCCTTCTTTCTCTCTGGTGTGTCTGCCAGAGATAAGAAGGAAATGGGACCCATTCTTTTTCCGTAGTTTTCTAGTGTGTGGGTTGAGTCCAAATAAATTTTTGGTGAAATTAGATGATTTTCGGTCGGGATCATGTGTCCTGTGATGACTTCGGTGATTGCCACGATGAGATCGTCATTATTGCAAGCATCAATTTCATCGGCAGGCGACCAATTCATAGCCTTTATCTGTAAGGTTAGGGGTGCTTTGGGAGCCCCTACGAGGATAGCAACTCTGGGTCATCGATGGTCGCGGAGAGGAAATCAAGGTCTCAAGATGGTGAATCTGCATCTTGCAGCATGTCTAATGTTTTGGAGTTGATTGTTGGATTCGGCATAAAGACTTCACTTTGGCTCCGGCGTCCGAGGGAAGTCATTGGGGAAGAAGATGATGAAAAAATCTACATATAATATTATGTATTTTTTATTTTAGATTTTTTTCATGTGTAATATGAGGATGTACTGTATCAAAATTCAATATAAATCCCTTTTCACTCGCAAAAAAAGGGAGGCTCCAGCTCAGCACCAAAAGGTTACTCTCTTGTGAAGCATCCGGTCATTGATGATGTCGGCAAGGTTCCTACTCAGAGAACATGGCTCAATCTCCGTTGAAGGCGTAACCACGGAATATTATACGGAGCATAGAAGCATTTGAAGATGTAAAAACTCAGTTCCAAATGCTCAGAGTTTGGTGAAAGCATCCGGTAAGTTCAAGATGAAAACCTAGCATGGGTGTTTGCATCCCAGTAGTTTTTTTTTTCAAATTTGTTTAGACCAGCAAACATGACCATGTATTGCAATAGAAAAAAAACATTTAAATATTTATTGGAAATGATAGAAAAAACATTTAAATATTTATTGGAAATGACAACGAAAGAACGGTACGTATCTCTACCGGTGATACAAAATCACACGAACGAGGAGCTGACGTAACGCCTGGCTAACATCCAGGCTCCCCGAATAAACCACACATGCTAATTAATTCTCGCTTTCATGCAAAAACTTAAACAGTGCCCAAAAGACTCAAACCAAAGTTAATAGCTTTCCAAACTCCCAAAAGACTTTTTAAGATCTAACCTTTCATATTAAATGAACCAAAGTCCGTAATTAATTCCACAATGCTACATTATTTTGCTTCGCTTCGCTTCAAAAAAACTCAACCCAAAGTTAACGGCTTTCCAGACTCAACTTTTTAGGTTCGT